TAGTTGGAGGATATTTCTGATAATTAATACTGTGAAGATGTTATTTACTTTTGATTATAAAGTATTGAGATTTCGATTTTCTAACTCACAGATTATTAATGTCAGCGTCATTATGTGCTAGTGTGCGAGATTTTTTTTTCTTCATTATCACGCTGTTGACCTTTAACTAAAGGTTAAATGCGTTAGGAATTTTTTTTGTCTCCAAAACCTATGTGCTATTTCTCACCACTTTTTATTGTCTGTCCAAACAGATCTCACTTGTAAACGAGTCTTCGAGGCTCAATGTGACTTATCTGTTTAAATAAAGGTTGAATGAATGAATGAATTTATTAGCTCTAAATCTGTCAAAGTTATATTATATATGTGTTTTGTAAGGCTGATTTGCTGTGGTGGCCATTTTGAATCAGGATGATTCCAAAAGTTGATGACAAAGCTTTAAACAAAGATCTCAGACAATTGGTTAGACAGAATATATACCTGGGATGACACTGAGCTACGATCACACCATTATTATTTCATGACAGCAAGTGATAATCAGTTTTAATCTTCCCCTGCCGCAGCGTTTACAAAAAACATTATTTTGGAATGTACGTTGTAATGTAAAGATGCTGCGTCCTCCAAATGAACGGGCATGAAGTTGCACAAATCCATGAACAGAATAGTTACAGAAGGCCGCATACTCGATGACTTTAAAAAATGTTTTATTTTCCATTCTTTACAACTTTAATGAGGAATATATTATAAAGAGCTAAATAAATAAAATTTAAATAAAATTAACATAAGAAAGGGGGAGTACTAAAAAACAAGTTTGAATAAAAATGTATCTATAGATTTCAAATATCCATTTTTTATGGGGATACTCGTTTACTACATAGTGAGCAATGATAAAAACTTGGTTATTTTTATATTTATGTAGTATTATAAGTAATAACTTAGTCATATGTATTACTTACACAGATGTTGCTCTGTGTAGTTACATTTATTTAAAGTTTAAAACAAAACATGAGCCCAACACTCACCAATCAGGACCTCAGATGTGCAGGGAAGGATGAGGAAGCAGGACAGAACGCACTCTGGAAATCTTTCTTCTTTGTCAAATTACACCAGCTGTTGAAAATAATATCCAAGATAAACTTAACTACACGAATAAAGCTTCATATGACAGACAGATTTGATCTAAACATATACGTGCACTTTGACCTGCAGCTCACACAAGAGCAGGAAGTAAAGAAATTCACCCCTTCAAATTACTAATTTGCTTAATCTGGTTTATAATGGTGAAAACAGTGGTCTTAAATGAAAAATGTGACTGGGCATGAAAATATTTTGAGTAAAAACACACATTAAGTTCAAAAGTCAACATGTGGCTATGATAAATTTTTATCTTTACTAAGTTCACACATCTATCCTGAAATAGATGACACATTTAATGTTATTTGTTGTGGTTATCACATGTATTTTTATGGTTTAATACTACAATTTCAAATAAATTTGTAAGTATCTACAAAGTATTTTATGCCCCTAACTTGACTTAAACATTTACAATAAAAGTACAGTTTGTGCTTATTTTCTTTTTTTTTATTGTTTACTCTAAATGTGTAAATCTATATTTTATATTTATGAAGAGAAAAACTTTTCAGAATCTTACCTGATGAAGCTGCTGTCCTGTCGATCTGAGTATCTTTAAAACGTACCTCGACTTATTGTTGCATCCTGTTTGACACTTGTGCGTTTCTTTCCTCCTGTTGAAATGTGACAGCTGATGTAGAGGCGGCACCAGTAGAGTTACTGATGCAGAGAGCAGGGAAGGCTGTTTCTTGTAAACCTCAAACATATATGCAGGGAAATTGTTGCATAAAACTGTTTTAATCTGTCAGCAAATTAAATAATCCTATAAAGTTAGCAATTAACGTATGTAATTTTTATGAAAGTGCCCTTTCATAATAGCAGAGCTGTTGCCTCTCAGTGAGAAAGTCACCAGATCAAATCTCGGTCCGGGACCTTTCTGGATGGAGTTTGCATGTTTCTCCGTGCATGCGTGGGTTTCCTCCTGGTACTCCAGTTTCCTCCCACAGACCAAAAACATGCACGTTAAGCTGATTGGTAACTCTAAATTGTTCCCAGATGTGAGTGAGAGAGTGAATGGTTGTTTGTCTCGTTTGTCTCTATGTGTCCTAGTGATGGACTGGAGACCTGTCCATGGTGTCCGAGTGCCTCACGCACAGTGACCCCGTGACCCAAAATGGAAGAAGCAGGTAAAGATAATGGATAGCTGCTGTCAGCGACAGCATCGTAAGACTGTCTAAAGTGAAAACGTTGTAAGTGAACACAACTCAGAACGGTTCATAAATCACAAGTGTCCTTGTCCCATTCAGAGGTAAGCTTTGAAATTAAATATATTGTTTGTTTTTTTTGTTTTAAAATGTGCTTTAACTGTTGCAATTTTAAACATTCAATGAAAAATCAACTGATTGACAGGTTGTTGTTTTTTTTACTCACAGGACAAATTGTGCCAGTAACATGAAAGATCTTTACAACTTAGCATGAAAATCTGCTCCAAATAGATCTTCTGCACACAAAAATGAAGAAGTGAAACTATGCAAATGTTTTAAGGCACATTTTATCCAAAGTCCAAAAAAGGCATATTTAGAAAGACAAACTGCTAAAGCAGCAGTTGGCTTGTTAGTCCAAAGTTGCAGAACAGAACGTTTCATATTAGTCAGTAACTTTACAACTATAGTGTTTGGAGACGTACAGAAGTTTAAAATGTTTTGCCTTTGCTCAGATCCAAGTGATCCTCCATCTGTGGTTCTACCGCCAGAACGAAGCCTGAAAATTTCACACGCATGAGTTTAATGTTAATATCTTGAAAATAATGTTACTCACAATCTGATGAATGTGTTAGTGAGCAGTTAATGTGTTGAGGATGACTCTCAGCTACTACCACATGAAACTTAATTACAGCTAATTTAGTGTTTTCTAACTTTGAATTCAAGTGACTCCAATAGACAGACGCACAAAACTGACTTTCTTAGAGTTCATTGAAATCCATCAGCTGGTTCACGAGATATTTTGCAAACATTCAGAGATATGAATGCATACAGACAGAGGGAATTACAAGAACTCCCGCTTTTCATTGCAGCAGCCTCTAATCATCATCTTCTCACCTGCGAGACATTCTGGACATCCGGTTCCACACGCTAAATATTACAAACAGAAACAGAAAAAAGACAATAATTTAAAAATTATGAACAAAATCTTAAGATTTTTACCTGCCATCCCAGTTTTGAAGCTCCTCAATGCATGTCCTTGAGCAAACCAAATAATTAATTGACTAAGTTCATTTGTGGGATGTAATGAAGTGCAAGTACTGTATTTGAGTTTAATTTAAACTCCCATCTTTCTGATAATCTCTGTACAGTATACATATTTAAAATGTTGTTGCATCCATTTTCACATCTACATTTTAGAGCTAACTTTAGCTGAACATGTTGAAGCTGACGTGCACATGCAGCGAAGCAGGGAGGTTAAAGAATGAGGAGCACTGAAGCAGAGAGACTTGAGAGACTTGAGAAGAACTTCAGGGACCTCTGGTGTTCTAACAGTGTATGGAAGCGACTTAATGAAAGCACAGGACTATCAGAAACAAGTTCTCAGCACCTCAGGAAGGCAAAACGAGAAAAGTAACCCTTTAGAAAAATGGTTACGAATAATATTTGTACACTGAATGGGAAAAGAATCGATAAAGAAAACTGAGTGCGTATGTCAAGGGTGGAATCAAGTCAATGTTTTGCAAGTCGCAAGTAAATCTCAAGGATTTCCACTCAAGTCTCAATTCAACTCCCAAACATTTCAAACAGGGCCAGCCCAAGCCTCCATGGGGTCCTAAGCGAAATTTGATTTGGACCCTTGTTTTTCTGCTAATAATGTGAATTACTGCAATCAACAGTCAGATGATCAGATCATTCACCCACCTAACATAAACTATTATATAATATAGTATTGATAAAACCAACTATTAAAAAAACTGGTAAAATATAACTTTCTCTGCATTCGCTGACTACTTCTAAATATTAAATAGTTTATGTTTGAGTAATTTGGCATTGTAAACACAAAAATTGAATTGATTTGACTGATAAAATAATATTGAAGCACACACATGTTATCTTGAAGTTCTGTCTCTGTGGCCCTTGAGGGTGTACAGAGCCACAGAAATGGTTATGGCGAGCTGGATTTGGCTCACGGGCCTTGAGTTTGACACATGTGATCTAGTGGTACTAAAAGTAACAAAAGAAAAAAAAACTAAAATATGTGTGCAGTTTAGCTTACAGACTTTGGAATGGATACATTTTGTCCTTGTCAAACCTGTTGAAGAGAATAAAACTAAATACTCGGAAACTTAAAGAACTTGCTCCATAAAGTTACAAACAATACTCAACTTTGCAACATACATATATATATATATATATATATATATATATATATATATATACACACACATATATATACATATATATATATATATACACATATATA